AATAATTACAATGCTGGTGACAATAATAATTCTGATGTAAATGATGGTCCGCCTACGAGAAAAAATTTCTGTTGTTAATCTATAGTGAATGATGTGAATGTAGTCACACATAATGAGATGGATGAATTAGATATACCACCCAAGAAGCGATGATTACTCCACCATTGCTCCACCATTGTCAGCAATAAAAACGTGTATCTGAACAAATTCAACAATAATGTCACATACGTTTTCGTTGTCGAGTTATCTAGCGAGTTAAGCGCAAGCTTCTACCCACCCATCGAGTTGAATACCGACAATAATTATGGACTGGCCTACAAGGTTCCTACTCCTTCAACTCCAACTTTAATGTCGATGCGACGAATAATGTTATCAGCTATAAATTCCACCTGGGGCATATGAAACTGATGAAAGCAATAAGGTGTTCAAACATTAATTGAATCCAAGGACCTGCAACCGGCAAATGAAAATGAGGAGAATGTCGATGAGGTATTCATCATACATGCAAACAACAACACTCTGAAAGGCAAAATGCTGTCGAACTACTACATCATCTCAAACATGAAAATACCATTGCTGAATTCGATGAATTTGTTATCGATGTAGACCCTGGATACAAACTCGCCAAGGAACCACAAAATATATGCCTATTAAGCCTGACGGTCGTCGTACGTCGACAGTAACCCTCTATGTATAATGGTAATATGTTCAATTTCAACGGTGGGGAAATATAATCGAATTGGAATACCATACGATTAACGTAACCATACGATTATTATTTCTGAACCGTATAAATATAGAAAAAAGCGGAGTTGTGCTTCGAAAGCATATTATGAGACGAGCGCTAGTAGCGCAATGAGGCTGCTGACTCCCTTGCAACGGAGGGTGCTGCAAGCAGTTTAATCGGACCAGAACCTGTCATTGGCATCGCTTTAGGCTTTCCCAAAGAAATATTAAACACCTGTATGGCATGAAGATTTATGGACTTCTGGCAGACTCTTCCAGGATTGGCTCACTCCAAGGCGTTTATTCACCTTTCAAAGCTTGATACCAACCAGTTGTTGGACTACAGTAGGGATGAACTACGATGTCTAACAGGCCTTCTTACAGGTCACTGTAATTTGAATCATCATATGCAGATAGGTACTCGGACTGTCGGAAGACAGTGTGTCGCCTTTGTTTGGAAAATGATGAAACAGTAGAGCACCTACTTTGTGCCTGCCCCGCTGGAGACCGAATCAGGTGTTTAGAATTCGGCAGAGCCGTACTCTTACCATCTGACCTGGAAGACCACTCACCATACAAATTAATCGGCTTCGTTAAGAAGCTGAGTTTATTACGTCAGGTGTGAATAGGTGTGAGCCACAATAGACCCTTGCGGGTTGCGGTGGAAGGTCGAATGGACCCACTCACTTTGTACCTAACCTAACCTGGTAGCGTAATATATTGATTCAAAATATCGACAATCATTAGTATCGTATATCAACTTCTGATCATGAAGGATTTAATAAATTATTATTATTATTATGTCATGAAAATGAGTGAAGGGAGCATCGATAAGCATCGATAAGCAGAAGTAAGGCAGCGTCAACAGCTGGTTTGCGAGGGCAACCATCTTACTATTTTGTCAAATCTGTTGAAGTTTTGTTAAAATGCATGATGAGCTTAAAAGAAATTGTTTCAAATCCTCATTACACACGCTCTGCATGATACATATATCCAGAAACGATTCTCTTTGTATCTCGAAGAAAGAGGAAGTTGAATATAGATAGAAAGGTAGGTGGAAATCTGCGAGGGTTTACTGTGGCTCTCATCTATTCACAATCAAATAAAGACAAATTCTTAATGAAGCCAAATACTTTATTTGGTGAGTAAGTGGGATATGTACTATATTTTTCAATAATACATTTCAATTGCTAGCAAACCTATCAAATACCAACAGTTTATTGCTATTGAAGCGGTAATTGAAAAGTTCCGAGTATCACTAAGTATTTCAAATCATTTTTCCTCATCATACAGTACAGTTATATTTGGCATGAATATAAACAGACTCTTCACGTATCAACATGTTTATTGACAATTACATCTTTGAGAAATTATAGATCAATCAATTCAACATAACGGACACAATTAAATATGAGGTACAAAACAATAACACAAAATCGATAATAACAAAAAATATTACAGTAACAAATGAATAAAAATGCGTTTCTCAACAAGCAAGTTTTTTCTTGAAAACGATGCAGGACACATAAATTAAGCAGGAAAATAACTCCACTGCTCCAACCAATAGTTATTTAGGGACGAACTGTAATGTTATAAAAGGTTTAGACCTTGAAGGATTATAGGTATGTTTGATATGATTTCATAAAGCATATACGATTTGGGACTAAACAAAAAATGTTATTATTGGCTACTAGAACAAAGCATTTTCTTATCGTCCTAAATTGTTTTAGAAACAACCGAAATCAATAACTTTCTAGGAATACAGTGTGTCCAGGATAAGGAGGGCTAGAATGGGAAAATCGGAAACTGTAAGATATACAAAGTTGATCAAATTAGGAAATGTGAACAAGTTCCTTCTCCCAATCTCAAAACGTCTGCCTTATTTCTATTTCAATTCAGTTTCGAGCAGTTTAGTTTCATTCCTTATTCCACCAGTCCAATCATGGGGAGAATCTTCCAGAAGGAGAGAGCAGTGGCGAACATAGCATCAACAGTTAAAACATTAAATCATTCTTTAGTTAAAACCCTTGGCAACACCTGTTTCATGAAAAGTGTAATCCAATGTTTACCTAACACGGGATGTTTGCTGGAATATTTCAAAAAGGTTGTATATATGAAAAATATCAATCCCAGTATTTTTAGTATAAAAGGTGCTTTAATCGAAGCGTTTGCAGAAGATATCAAGGAATTGTAGTTGGAAGATTCATCTGATAAAGTAGTAAGCACAGTCTACTTGAAAAGTTAGATTCTAAGTTTTACCCCTTGATTAATGGGTTATGCCCATGAAAACTCCCAGGAGTTCCTTCGATTTCTTTTAGAAGGTTCACATGAGGACATTAATAGAATAATTCAGAAACCTAAACCGATCTCAACGGAGATTGACAAAAATTGAGCGACAGCAAGCAAGAATAAGAGTCATGGCTAAGATATTTAATGATGTATAACTCTCGAGATTGTAGGTAATTTCGTTGGTCAATTAAAATTCACGATAAAGTGCAACTGTGGACACACATTAACCTTTGATCGTTTCTGGTATTTATCTCTCCCCATACCACAAGAAACTGGCCAAATGAGTTTCTCACAATGCTTGGATTCTTTCACAAGAGACAGACGGAGATGAAAAACCAATGTTTTCGAGGTGCATGGAAAGGAGAAAATGCACGAAGTTCCTATCAATCCATCAGTTTCCTCGCATTTTAGTAATTCATTCAAAAAGGTTAACTTTAAACTGAAAGATTTGGAGACAAATTAAATGTAGCCATCGACTTTCTCCTTGTAGGTTAGTTATGAATAATTATGCAGCAATGTGGCTCCTTGTCGTTATAATCTATATGCACTTTCGAATCACAGTAGGACGACTTACAGCGGGGCATTACACCACAGCATACTGCAGACACTTCTACACTGGCACGTGTCTCCAATTTCACCCAAATCGCTTGTGACTGGAGAGGCATATATCCTCTTTGGCCAACGGGAGGAAAGAAGTCGCACCTTTGATTATTTAAATGACAATAAAATTTACTAAAAAACAACTAAGGTGAAAGATCAGTGACGTTTTCATCAACGCTAACTTATATCGAGTGATTGCCAATGGTTTTTCAATGATCATGTACAGCTTGAAAACTGGCAATGAGAAAATGTTTTTTTGTTTTTCAATATATGCTTAAATAACGTCAGAGAAAAATTGAAACGAAATTTTTAAATTTCCGTTTTTTTTTCAATATCTCCGGATATAACCAGAATTTTTTTAAATTTGAAATGTCATTCAAATAATAAGCACTTATTTCATCAACTATGTATCACTCACAGTTTCCGATTTTCCCAAGCTTGCCTCCTTTTTATTGACAGTTACTATGCCAGACACTGACGGAAAACATAACATCTAAAATTATTACGTTTGTGTAATCCCAACTCAGTATTACGGCGGTGTAGACTATAAATAACAATCAAGAAAAGCAAGCGAGCCCTTATTGTATCGAGCAATTATGTACGAATTATAACCAATCATAACCTTGACAAAAATGTGAATGATAAATTAAATTCACAACCTGAAGCTGAAACAAACAAAGAACATTCAAAATGTTTGCTTGTGGAGTTTACATGTGCTTATGAAATATTTTTCAAAGGCTACCATTCTTACAATCATCATTAAAAGTTAAAATTGTATGTAAACGTATTGAATTGTGAGTTTAAATTTAAAACAAATTTTAAAAACTTGAGAATAATTTTTGAATATTTTGGCAACAATTATATCATAGAAACAGTTATGTTTTCAGTGAATTTTGTAGTAATTAACGAAACTGCTCTGGTTGAAGATTATTTCAAGAAGTGCCTATTTCGAAAATTAGAAAGCCGTTTAAATAATCTTTTGAATCATAGATTTTAAAAAAATGTTTCATTTTCTCTACCCTGTCGTGAAATATTTTGAGACCGCCATTGATTTTTTTTTCTGAATAAGGTCTGGCGAGTTCTTAAATTCAATAGAAGATTTCCAAAGGTTTGATCCAATTAACAATAGCATGCTAATGTTTCGAAAGGACCAGTAGATGAATCCATTAGATCAATTTGTGAACATATCGGTGAATTTGAGAACTGGTCTAACCTTTCAAAATATCAACAGGTTATAAGGTTTTTCACATTTTATCAAGGATGTGTTGATAAAATTTCTTCTTGAAAATATTTCATAGCTGTCAAGATGCCCCGTGGAAAAAATGTATAATGTTGTTTTTAATCATTCTCATTCAGAGCATTGAAAGAATAAAAACAATTTAAAATACTGGTATTTACTTCTTTATTACAAAATATGAAAGATTCAAATCTATAAGGTATGATGGATATAATACTCTTAAACTTTGTTTTTTCTGTAATGAATTTCAAATAATCATTTTGGGCAAACCTGCAAGTACTAATTGAACAGGTGGTTTGAATAGAATTTGAAATTTGACATTTTAAGTTCTAATGGAAAAATGTGCATAATTATCACATAGTAATGAGAAATTCATTCTGAAAAGAATTCTTTGCAGCTAATTACCTTAAAAAACTCAAAAATGATATACAAATATATTTTAAAACATCCTCACAGAACTACTAATGACATGCCATCAAATAGTAATTTCCCACATTAAAAATAAAACGGTTTTTTGTTTCACAGAGGTTTGAAAAGTATCAGTATAATCTTCATATTTATTAATTACATCAATTTTGGAATATTACTGTCAATAATATTAGGAGTCTTTTAGGGGTTTATTTGGGTTAATGGTACTATTTTCTTCTTCTTTTGAAAATTGACATTGAAAAATAACTCATTTACCTTCCCATTTTAGATTGGAATATATTGATGAAGCCAGGATAAAAAATAAAATATCCACTTCTAAAAAAATTAGAATCTTTAAAGATTCAAAGGTATCTATAGATCAGTCAATGGTCCTAAGCAGTGAAAATATTGTAATTATGTAATGTAAGTGGTACACAATGATGGAAGGTCACTGTAGCAATTAATATTTGGCAAAAGTTAAAAACAGTCTCTTCTTCTCTTCATTGAGCCAATAGTTGATGATACGAATAGACTACCAACATATATCAGCCTTTCCACCCATAATAAAAGATATTATTTACAGTTAATCATTGCAAAATTAAGCAGGATTGTTAGATTTATTAGACCTAAGTCTCTCAATACCTGATCTCTCCTCCTCTTCATCACTGGTATAAGATATACCAGAAACAGCACCTCTTGTAGATGTTGCTTGCATAAGTTCCTGGTCGGGAGCATTTCTACTTTCATACAGTAAAATATTTAGAGTTTCTTCATATATTCTAGCTTCAGGACATTCCACTTTAGTATGTTTTTTATCTGTTGCATATACAATTGAAGTACAACATACTTCAGATACTTTTTTTCCATGTCCATAAAACACCCAACAACATATTTCACTAGTGCTGATAACATCTTTCAAAAATAGCAACCTCTTATTATACCATAAGGAAAGTTTATCAAACAATTCAATATTTTTCAATAGATTATCATCTGAGGTGTTTGTATAGGAGTACTTATTATTATGCCTGTTTATTAGTAATTTTATAGCAGGCTTTGTAGTAGAACTAATTAGCATTTCTTCCTCTTTCTGCGAAGTTATTAAAGGTACTCCACAAATAGGTTCTTGTTCTCCTCTCTCCTTCTTAGCCAAAGCTTTGTTACAAGACTCAGCTAGTTCAGCAATGCAGTAATATTTGGCTTCCGCTACCAGCTCAGCTATTTCTTTTGAAGACTCTGGCAAAGACACACTTCCATCTCGTAAGAAATTCAAGATTGTGCCAAAATGTTTCCCACATCTATCGATTAATATCCAACCTAAGGAATTTGGGTCAATAAAACTTTACACTTAAATGATTGATTTTGCTTACCATCAGAATCGGACAAAACTTCCATTCGTCCACTGAACATAGCTCTCAACATAGTGTCATGTTTAGTAAGAGTTCCAATCGTCGTGTAGTGCAAACAACCCCCGACATTCAATTTAACATACTGGGATGGGTTTCCCTTAATCGTCGTTTTTCCAGACATTGTTTTTATTTCTGAATTGAACATTCAGAAAAGTATGAAAACAAGTGTTTTTTGATGTCTGAATGATTAGTAGGATGAATTAGATCACTTGACAGAAAATGAAATTCAAATTAACATATTTTGTCAGCCGATGCTATCACACCATTTTATCAATTAGACTAATCTTTGATTTTATCTACTTGAAAAAAAATAGAGAAGAGAATACAAAAATTAGAAATAAATTAAATGACAGTTAACAGTACACAATGATGCCATCATAAAGAAAGTATATTCAAAGATATGGTCCAAAAACAACCACTTAATAACTACTACTAATCAGAATTTTTGACATCGATTAATTGAAAAAATATTATTGTTGGTTTTTTTTTCTGTGATAAAAACATTTTATTAAAACAACGATAAAAATAAAATAAAAACAACAATAAAAATTAATTGGCGCTTCGGGGCGACTTCATTGATTCCAGTGGCGAATTTGCTTTTTCAGCTGCAGAAAAAACCTGCAGCACCACATCATCTGAAGATCTCGATCTAACAATGTCCTCTCTCTTATAAAACAAAATGTAGGGTGTCTCCAGAGGCTCCAATAAATTCAATGCATCACCAGAACACTTCGTGACACGACTATCGTCAAACTTAAACCAGTCCGTTTCTTCTTTGACCAAGGCGTAATAATGACCAAATTCAACGCCAGAACCACAGTGAACAATGACTGCATGAATATTATAATAGTGGTCTGCTAGGTTGAAATGTTCATCTATTTCGAACCTTCCAAAGAGTTTCTTGCTTTCCTTAGAGGTTGAGTATTGTTTGAAAATCATCAGTGTTATTATTAGATTGACTGGAGCCTCAGCTATACTTGTTTCCTTATAACAGTCAGTTAGTTTGTCGCATGTTTGACAATACAGTCGAGCATCACCTGTTAAAAATTCCATTTTCAGATGATTCAACAATAAGCTTTGCACGGACTGGTTATTAGTCATATTAGGAAAAGCTAGATGAAGTTCCAGAAATTCACATAAGTTTTCGGTACTTCTTGAACATTTACCACAAAGTAAACCAGTGAGGATGTTTCCAGCAAAAGATTTACAAACACAAGACGAGATGGGTTGTACGGAATCATTCAGTCCAGAGCGGTCAGGAGTATTGATTTTGCTATTGTTTTGCTCAAGAAGAGTATTCAACAGGAACCCCAAGAATTCGGAACAATCCTCTTGTTGTCCTAACGAGTATCTAGTGGACTTCAAAGACTCCAGGAAATCGCTTGGAGGGAAAGATGATACCTTCTTACGAAACTGCAGCTGCATGAACAGTTGTTTGAGTTTGATGAATAAGTAGGAAACATTTCCGTTCTCATTCATCATTAAAACTTCGTTCTTGAAATTCATCGTCATGAACAACACTTGTAAAATGCTATTCATGTAGCAAGTGTTTCCTAAATTATCCAATCCAATTTTCTTCTCTAGATTTTCAGGACAACTGAAATCTACGAATCTACTGATTCGTAAGGAAGAACATGTTTCACAGAATCTGCATAAGAACCATTTCTCAAGCTGCGATCCATCCTTCCAAGTGAAGAAGGGTTTCGTAGAGGGATCGATTCGGCTCTTGCTTCAAGAAGCTCTTCCACTGAAAGGATACCAGTTTCACGAGGACTGCAACTCATTGTTTGGGGGCAAGAATGACCTGAGTCCACTGACCGCACTGAAAAAGAAGAAGGTGAATCAATAACTTGTGAATTAACCTTGATAGGAGACTGATGAATATTCACATATCTCGGCTTGTTCCGAAGAGGTTTCAGTTCCATACTGAAATTAGGGCAATGCATGATCTCATCAAAATTATGTGAAGGAGGAATAGTTCCAAGTACTGAAGCAGCATTGCCACGTTGAATAGCAATACTAATTCTTCATGAACTCCTTCCGAGTTCATGAACGAATAACAGAGACTCCGGGCCATAAACACCAAAAGTTTCAACGGCTACTGGAGGAAACAGATAGTTGTTTCCAAGATTTTGGTATTTTTTTCTTTTCAATTTCTCGCCAGACAGTGCTGCAGTTCCAGCAGACTTGGAACTTTCGGCTAGATGGGAAGCCGCGACCGTGTCGACGCAAGTAAAGTCCCATACCACAGGTTTACTGTATTTCCATGGTATGAGAGACATACCATCTGGTCGTTTACCATCATCTCGACTGGTACCTTAGGGTTCCAGAATTGCAGGAACATCCGCTGACAACATAGCTCGTTTCAATATGTCGTTCACTTGGTGATGTCGAGATGTACGCCCTGCACTTCTCCTGCAACTCAAACCATGTGTACCTTTCTCATCAACTATACTACCGCAAACACAAGTATGAGAAACACAAATAGATGAACCCATCCTAAGTCAAAACAGGACGGTTGTGTCAATTGTGGCATTGGTTTACTTGATTTTTTGTATTTCTTGATAATGGGGAATGTTCCTCAATTTGGGTTATCACAGCAAATGCAAGTTTGAACGAAATAAAGTTGAGTTTATTGAGTTTTTCAAATTCACTTCGAAAAGTATTCAAATTGATGTTTCACATGTTGAGTTTTATTTTTTAAAGGGATTTGTTTCTAATTCACATATTGGCAACAGCGCCTATATCAAGTTGAAATAATTTATAGGTACCTAGATATTCTACTTTAAAAATGAAAATTATCTTTATAAATCAACAATTAAGGCAAAATATAAATTATAGTTCAATACCACCTCCACAAGCCACATAAACAACAGTATCTTCGTTATATCTTGTTTAAGTCAGATTTATGGGCCTAGGGCCCCTTATCCTTTCGGCTGTTTGACTTTTTTTTGGTTCCTGTGGCGGGGCGGCAGGGGATTGCATGGTCCTCTGTCGACTTCTTTTGGCTCTTTGCCCTGTGTGTAGAAGTCGCAGCGTACTTCTTTGGCTTTGCGGCCGTTTAGGCACTGTTTCTTGTTTTATTTTCCGACAAGCATGGATTGCAGTACAGGAAACTTCACTGGAAGCTCCTGCAGCTGCCCTAAGGCCGTTGGGAGACCTTCGGGAGAGCTGCAGGCGTTCTCTGACGATGAGACGGCCCTCGCATACGAGACGTCGCTCCTGATTGAGTTTCTTCCGACAGGCCTTGGGTTTGTGGTCTGTCTGTTTTAGTTCGACCTATCTGAGGCCCTTTTATTTTCAGGGCATTCTGGGCACCCATGGAAGCTCAGTGGGTGTTCTCCCTTGCAGTTAAAGCATCGCAAGGGCAAGTTTAGGTCTTTTGCATTCCTTGGTCATGTGCCGTCCGGCACATCTAACGCAGGCTGTAACTGCTTTACAGTTGCGTTGCGTGTGACCGAACTTTTGGCATCTGTAACATTGCCCTGATCGGTTTCTCGGCTTCTGTGTTTCGACGCTTACACGCACGTTTTGAATTTCGGTGATCTCATATATTTCATAAACAACAGTTGTTTTGTTATTTATTTATATAGAGGAAGATAAGTTAGTTGCACAAAATGTCATATGTCACAGAATGTCTCGGAACATAAATAAACAGAACAGCACGCCTCTGAAATATGTCATCTTTGTTTGTCTCACACAGGTAACGGATTCATTGTCCTTTATTAGCTATAACCGATGTTGCCAAATGGTGAAATAGAAACCAATCCCTTTAAATGTTGAATGCATTATTTCATCCTTCTTTTTTAAGTATTTAAATGATTTTTTAAAGAAAAAGGTTGATATGATTTATTCAAAATGCGTTGTTTTAGAGCTCTTTCATGAAGACTACTTGATTTTCCTCAGGAGGAACATTCCCCATTGTCCTAATAGCTACAAAAAAATTGAAAAAAAGTGAACAATAAGTATGTATTTCAAAAATATAGCAACTCAATTTATGAGAAAAAGAAATTATGACTTGGAAGTTGAATATTAATAATAAAAGTAAAATGAAGAATAAAATTTGAAAAATATAAAATGAAACAACAAAACTAATAACCTAATATTTCCATGTATTCCTTGCTACCGGATTTCTGTTCTGAATTTTTTGTAATTAACTGGAATGAAATCGTGAACTTTCCTTTTCAAAAATTCTCCTCCTTATTCCCCACGAGGTCCAAAGTTTTTCCGAGCAACCGAAAGATGACTAATGATAATGATTACAAAATAATTATAATTTTCTCTTCAAAATAACTAATGACAAATGGGAAAGATAACAAAGAGAAGGCTCTAATACAATAATACAATCAATTATGTATATTACTTAAGTTTTTTCCCAACACCAAACAGTTATTTTAACACCTCGACACGTGTTTCGATCACCAAGTGATCATCTTCAAGAGGAAAATTAAATTATGTGATGAAAGCTATATAAAATAATTACAATTTTGCAACCTGTCTAAAAATCGTTAACTCGTATAGAATTGCCAGCTGCTATATTTCTAAATACTCATATATTTTCGACAATGTCAGTAATTTCTTTATCCAATTCTGAAGAGTTTTGTCACAGCGGCTCACGTTATGGCCGGAAGTATTCAATTTCTTCCTTATGATTTCAGTCATTGCTTTTGTAACAGTCGTATATTGTTTTTATCAATGATTTTATTAGATGAACATCTAAAGGTTTTGGTAATCCTGTATCACATCGCGTCTTGCGTTCATAAGGTTTGTTTTTGACTATTTTACGTACAGTTGAGAAAGGAATTTCAGTCAATTCTGATGTTGCTTGTAATAGTTTGTTTCCCTCAAAACCAAACTTGAGATGTAGATTCTTATATGCATTGAAACATATTCTCTGTGTTTCAATATTCGAATGCATCCGAATCTTATTCACTGCTCTCTTTTTCGCATTGTTCACCATAGCTATTGGAATCACTACACTGGAAAAAGTCTGCGTTGTTATCACACTCGTTATTACTAACAGAACTTGTCCAAGGACGCCACATTTTAAATAGATAACAAACATTTTAAGTAATTATAAGGGCACCAATATCGAATTTTAACACTCAAATCGCGATCAGTTCCTAAACTGAACAGGACGGCGATAACCATCCCCGCATTCTCCAATTTCTATTCGTCACCGTAACATGACTTCAAATTTAATTTTATGACTCTTCAGCCAATCATAAAACTCGATTAGTAAAAACCAATGCGAACCGCCAATTCTGCAGTCTACGTGGACTATTTCGCAGCCGGTTCATTTTTATGTATTGGTTTTTTTGACCTTTGAGAGTGCCGCTAACTTTAAATGTTCACAATATCGTTTACTTCGACTATACCAGCAAACATCGTCTTACTTTTTTCTCACCAATATGTTTTCCGTTATACTATTTTTCATAATCTGTATTTTTTTATATATTTTCGCCCTTAATATGTATACTGTTTGAAACATTTCAGTTGGCTTCAGTATCGATAGAGAAGAGTAGAAGACTACCCAATTGCATTTCTCAAAATCCATATAAGAATCTTTAATAACGTACAGTAACATCCAGACGTGCACCACACTAAATTTATAAGAATGGATCATCTTGTCAAAAAAAATGGTTACTACATATGCTTTCCAATCTTTGATGAAATCAGTAGTTATCTCAAGAAATTATCAAATCTAGTTTAATGACTCTGATATGTCATGCTATGTAATTTATTTCATGTAAAATCAAATTGTTTCTTTAGTGTTAGTGTTTAATGTGATAGTGTTAAAACACTGTATGTAATATGTTGTATCAATGATGATCCATAACGAGTCTTGCATATTCTCAATCTACCAGTATCCTCTTAAAATGATTTTCTCAAAAAAATAAATGAAACAATTTAAATGTCACCAAAGTACATGTATATTAAAACTTGTTTTCGTTATTTTTACCTATTTAACAAAATATTTAGTGTTAATTTAATTGTGTGTTAATCCATTACAAATTTGATGATTGTAAAAGTATAATTAGGTCAAGATGAAGTATTAGAGCTTATTGACAATGGCTGATTTTTTCATGAATGTCCTGATTGATATCACTAACTAACTCACATGCTATATCAGTAGCGTTTGGTATCAACAATTCTTTATAAATAAGCATTCTTATTCTTTTAAATTTGACATATTCATTTCTTCCATCATTTTCCTTTTCACTAGCTATTCCTTTTATAGGCAACATTAAAATCCTGGCTTGAAATGAGTTTATTAAGAACATTCTTTCCACACCATAACAAAATACTGTCTCTCAATTTGTGTTTCACCAACCTATTTAGTTATTGCCTGATGATGGTTAGCGAAACATGCATAAAGAGTCAGCATTTTGTTCTGGTATCGGAAAAATGTTTTAGTGGACTCATTTTAAGCCAGAGGTTTCAATGTTACCTATCAAAAAAATAGTAATTTCCAGTTGATCTGACCCAATATATTAATTCTTTAGGTTTATTGTACAGTTAAACCCATGTATTCAATGAAAGACAATTCAGTTCATATGAGTTTTCCTATGTTTTTTCATACTACTCGAATCATAGAAGCCTTTGGAACAAATGTCACAAACAAATGGTTTTTCTCCAGTATGTATTCTAATATGAACTTTGAGTGAGCCCGTATGATTGAATGTCTTATCACAATAACTACAACTATAAGGCCTTTCTCCACTATGTCTTCTCATATGGTATGTGAGATGACCTTTTTGGGAAAATGTTTTTCCGCATATAATACATAGCACAGGTTTCTCTCCAGTGTGAGTGAGATTGTGTTTCTGTAAGCTATTCTTCTGAGAAAAACCTTTATTACAAATTTGACAAAGATATGGTTTGACACCAGAATGCACTTTAACATGAGAATTGAGCAATACTTTTGTCGAGAAGTTTTTACCACATTCACTACATAAAAAATCCTTTTTGTTATGAATCAACATGTGCTGTTTGAATATGGTTTTAGAGGTGAAAGTCTTGTTACATTCTTTACATGTCAAATCCTTATAATCCAAACTTGTCTGATTATCTTTCAATTTGTGCATATTGATGTGATTTCCTAATGCATGTTTAGTTACAAAGAATTTACCACAAATATTGCATATGAAGGATTTCTCTCCATAGTGTGTTCGAATATGATCAGTCAAAGTTGGAGCTTGTATAAATCCCTTCCCACAAATATTGCATTCATGAGGTTTTTTGTCATTATGTCTGAACTTATGTCTAGTTAGGCTTGATCTGAATCTGAACTTTTCATTGCAAATTTCACACTCATAAGGTCTGTCTTTTGTGTGCGAGTTGATATGATCCTTCAATTTGTATGTGCTTATGAATTTATGACAAACTGAACAAGGCTTTTTTTTTCTTCTCTGATCTGCTTCTTTTTTCCGATGTAATTTATATGAAGAATAAGATTCAAATTTTATACTGCAAAAAGAACATGTAAGATCTCCAGGTATTTTTCTGGAAGTGCAGTTTTTTTTAGAAGTTTGACGATGTTCAACACAATCTTCAGAAGTATTTTCTGGAGTCAAATCACATGCGTCACTGACATCATCTTCGCCTCCACTAAACTTATTCTTAAACTTCACAGTACTGATACCCTTTGGTAATATTTGCACATCCACAGTGGATTTTTTTTGTGTACTTTCAGATTCTTCAAATTGATTTTCCTCTGGTAAATCAAACTCATTTTCAAATTCAACAAATGTATCTGAAGGTGATATAGACTTTTCACTTGTGACAAATGAATTTTTGAGAATGGTTTCAGACTCTAGAGCTCGCTTTCTGAAGTCGTAAAACTGTTTAAGAAAATCCACACAACTGTTACATACTTTCCTTGGCAATTCATCAGAATCATTGAACTGTAAATGAATACAGAAAAATATAGTAACAATTCACTATTTTCTTAATTACTTACTTTCAAGGAAATTATCATGGAATATAATTCACTCAAAATTAAATCTTCATGTTTGGTATCAAATAAATTGAATAGACCTTGTTTATCAAGACAAGACCGGCATAATAAAGTGAAATCTTTGGGCACCATTCTAGACCTATTGATGTATATTCCGATACTCTAGAGGTGACTGAATAGTTTCCAAGTATGGTTTGTGGTTCCTCCACTTTCTTCCAATTATATGTTTCAGATGTGTGATAATAGATTTATGTAATTATATACGCATAAAATCAACCAGATAATAAAGTTCCTTATTTTTGAGTATTTAGTTAAAGCAGACTATTTCCGTGAATTACTGGAAAACTGTGATTGAAATTAGTTAATCATAACAAACAGAAAGCATAGGTAATGCTGTGGCATAATAAAGAAAACAACAGAAATTCGGAAATCATAAGGAGCTACAGATATGTTCCTAAAATAACCAATACCTAACCGTTACTAACCAGAATTTTTGACAGCAGTTACCTGAAATAATATATTATTGTTGGTTACTTTTGAAACAGGGCCACAGCATACCTAACAATAGGCTGTGACAAGACGGAGGACGGTTCTGTCAATTTTGTTATTGATAACACAATTGCTGAATAATTTTCGATGTGGAAACTGGAAATCATATACCTACTACGACCATATATTTTTCAATTCATTGATCTTATAATATTCAAACTAAATATTGAATTTGGGCGTTCCTTTTCAATGGTTACTTTTGTGAGTTATGATGAATCGTCGGAGGAAGATGAAAATTTCAGAGAGGCCTCTAACAGCTGACTATAAAAATATCTTCACCTGGGTCCATTGGCCTATGACAAATGAAGCTTCAGCAGAAGACGATGAAAACATTGAATCTAGTGAATATCTTTCAATATTGTTAGATTTCACTTGATTGACGCTAGGTTTGACACTTTCCAATTACAAAAACTATTACATTCAGAAAGTTTTTTGAGTTTTTCTCAAAGAAACATGAAAGTGACAGCTTTTGCCAAGAACAACAAAATCATATCGGTTAGTAGTTTAACGTTTGATTCAACAGTTTTCAGAAAACCATGTTTCATAGATAACAGGTTTTTCAAAAGTAACCCAATAGCGGTGACACAAACACTAAAATATTAATTTGTTGTTAGACATATTCATTTATCTTTCACAGAAATTTTAAATTGAGCTCTTTGTTCAAAACAACAAACTGTTGTTTTATTTCTAACTCTTTGTTGTATTGAAGACGTTTTGAAGACGTCTACTCTTTTAAGGACGACTCTATCTTAAGGAAGATTTCCATCCATAGCGACTTTAGAGTACAATACTGTGTGAAATATCAACTTTGATAGACTTATTAGCGAGTTTGTTGCAAAGAGAGCAAAAAAAGTAAATTTCACATAAATTTCGTCATTATAATTCATCTTCTCTTAAATCCATTTGACAATGAATGGAAAAATATGTATATTTTTTATAGCCAAATACTTTTGTATCGGACAAATTGTATACCATAGACACCGCACTTAAGGATTTTCCAGGGCCCTGCGATTGCTAGAGTCAACACTGGCTGTCTTTTCCTTCCTATATTGAACATTTTAATAAATCTCAACTCAAAGGTTGTTTTGTATAATAAAGTACATATTTAATGAATGCGTTGCATGTCAACTTAGTTTCTACACTTCATTTTTCTGTAGGACTATAAATGTATCAAATAGAAAATATATGGATTTATGGATTGTATATATACCATACCAGTTCTAATTTAGCCCCTACTGAAGGTTGGTGGACTCAATAGTTTCAAATTTTGACCAAAAAAAAAAGAAGAAGAAGAAAAGTATCAACGCTTTTTTGCCGAACTTTTGTCTTTTAGTGGTGTTTGATTTACGTGTTTGTAAAGATAGCGAAAATCTAGATCCTTCGATTTCTCTCATATCTGTTAGAAGTGCACGGTTTCGATTTCAAAATGAGTTGCCCCTTGAGCAAAGATGCCATTGAAAAGTTAAAACAATTCATTGAAGTTTGTAAGTCTAATCCTGACATTTTACACCTACCAGAATTGAAATTCTTCAAAGACTACATCGAATCTTTTGGAAGTACTGTACCGGAGTCTTCGAAAATGTCCTCTGGTACTAAGACAGAAACCAAGGAGAAAGTTGAAGAACCGGTGGAAGAAATGATTGAATCAGATCCTGAATCTGAGCTGGAATTGGACATGACAGGTTGTGTAGAACCTGATAAGCTAGATGAAAACCAAAAAATGGGTGACCCTTCTAAGGAAGAGGTATCGGAAGAAGACTCTGATAAGGCTGATGAGAAACGTGTTGAAGCCATGTCACTATTGTCTGAGGGTAACATCGAAAAAGCTATTGAAATATTCACTGAGGCAATAGAATTGAATCCCAATAGTGCTTTATTATTTGCAAAGAGAGGCCAAGCTTATTTGAAACTTACTAAGCCAAACGCATGTATCAGAGACTGTACCAGAGCTCTGGAAATAAACTGTGATTCAGCTACTGCATATAAATTCCGAGGCAGGGCCTACAGACTACTGGGAGAATGGGAACTAGCTGCTAAAGACCTTAGACAAGCTTGCAACATAGATTTTGACGAACAGACAGATGAATGGTTGAAAGAAGTAACTCCAAATGCAAAAAAAATAGAAGAACATTTGTTGAAAAAAGAAAGAAGAAGGAAAGAGAAAGAAGAATTTGAAAAAATGGAGAGAATAAGAAAAGCAAGAGAGGCTCATTCCAAGGCTTCTACTGAGGAGAAAGTGGATGATTTGCCTTCAGCTGAAGGAGGATCAGGTGGAATGCCAGGAATGGGTGATTTCTACAAATTACTAGAAGATCCTGAAATCTTGGCAGCATTCCAGGTAATGTATTGGCCCCTAAACAAAATAATGAATGAAAACAAAAAATTGTTCAATAAAGTATTTATAACTCTCTGCTCATAATTAAAAATCTTAAGTCCATAGGACCTGAAGAAATGGCCTTGAGGATAATGAAACCTGAGAGACCTAAAGATGAAATAATCTTGCCAGACTTGTAAAAATCTATTTTGAAAACCTTTTTTTAGAAAATGTTTAGATTATTTTATTATGAGAAAGGAATTGATATAATTCAGAATGTTTTATAGGTACCTCTGGAACTCTGACTTGAAATGAACTTACAAGTACAGAACCTACAAGCTACAGCAATACAAATACAAAATAAGTATATATTAAGAGTAAAAAAATACAGGCATTAAATAAGTATATATTGAAAAAAGTACCGTCTGTTCATAAAAAAAAGAAACAGTTGTACAATCGAAGAACATTAAAATAACAATATGCCAATGATAGTGATAATGTAGAATAATATAATAATGAACATTCCTTTCTTACATTATGAATTACTTGGTTTCCCACTAAATGAAGGTGAGAGCTAGTTTCTAGCTCAACATTAAGCCATTAGAAAATATTTTTCAATTCAGACTGAAGTTTTTCAACAAAATCTGTGAATTGTATTATGAAGCTGGTAGAATCAATTTGAAATTCTTCATCTTTGGGAAAATGTGGTCTGATCCAGGTAAATTTGATCCCCTGCAAACAAAAAATTTGGGTACCTCAGGGTTCGATACTGGGACTTTTGTTATTCAGTATTTTTGTCAGTGATATTGTCAGTGAAATATAACAGAAAAAATTCCATTTCAATGTGACATCTGAATCTCAAACAGTCTCTATGTCATAACAAAAAACAATCTAAGATGAGAGGTTAAACATAACTATAATGAATCAATGATTTTCCATTTTCAACATCCTCCGACCTTTTGCCAATACATATTTGAGATAACTAAAGTCTGAATTGCTGGATTCAGGGTTAAGTGGAACTGAATTGAACTTTACCGATTATTTTCTTTATAATCTTATATTTCATAGACTTTCAAGTTGGGCTTGAAATAATGTAACTATTATTATTATTATTATACC